GACAAAAAGGGACATGACACATATGTATCATTGCTATTAAGGGTAAAAATATGGGGTTTATTCATATGTGAGTTTATCTTGTCTACATCATGTCATCTTGCTTAAGGCGTTACTCCATTTCTTTCCATGAACTTAATACACCAGATGCATGCTGGATAGCAGTCGATGCGTGGAGTAATAGTAGTAGATGTAGAATCATTTCGTTCTACTTGTCTCATACGTGATGCCTATCTATGATCATTGCCTTAGATATCATCATAATTATTTGCTTTTCTATCATTTACCCACCGTATGCTATTTTGTTGAGAGAAGCCTCTAGTGAAAACTATGGCCCCGGGGTCTATCTTTTACCATATACTAAAACTAAAAATACCTTGCTGCAATCTTTCTTTTTTATTTCATTGTGTATTTTTTCCGATCTATCTATTAAAACTTATACAATTTAATCTTGCTCATTACCATTGAGGAATTGACAACCCCTCTACGTGTTGGGCTGCAAATATTTGTTGTTTGTGTGCTGGTGTTGTTTACATAGTGTTGCTTGGTTCTTCTACTAGATTGATAACCTTGGTTTCATAACTGAGGGAAATACTTATCTCTACTATACTGCACCATCCTCTCCTCTTAGAGGAAGTCCCAATGTAGCTCACAAGTAGCACTCTGCATTTATGTTTTGCGGTCTCAAAAAGGGCTAGAGGGATACCATGTTATCATATTATATCATGATTTTCCTAACAAAGTGTTGGCCTTTGAGATATGTTATTATTGCTCGCTAGTTGAATATGTCAATGATATGACTGAATATAATTCCTAAGAGTTATCATTTGCATGGTTAGTTATGATCTTTGCTGAAAATTTAGGTACTATTTAATTTTATATACGGATACAAGAACAAAAGGGTTCATAAAAATTTTCTTTATCACTTTCAGTTTGTCAACTGAATTGCTTGAGGACAAGCAGTGAGTTAAGCTTGGGGGAGTTGATACATCTTCATAGTATCTACTTCTGCAAACACTTTTGCTCTTGTTTTAGACTCTAATTTACATGATTCGAATGAAACTATCCCGGACTGACTGTTTTTAGCAAAACTATCATGATGTTGTTTTTGTGTAGAAATAAAAGTTCTCAGAATTGGATGAAACTTTTTGGAGATTTTTTTATGAAATATACAAAAATACAGGAGCAAAGATATACAGGAGGGGACCACCCAGTGGCCCACAAGGCACTTGGGTGCAGCCACCCCTGGGTGCGCCCGTGTACCTTGTGGGGCCCACGTGGCTCCATCGACCCCAATCTCAAGCCTTTAAATTCCTATTTCCCGAGAAAAAAATAAGGTAAGAAGTTTCATCGCATTTTATGATACGGAGCCACCGCCATCACCTTCTGTTCATCATCGGGGGGCCAGATCTGGAGTTCGTTTGGGGCTCCGAAGAGGGGGATTCGTCGCCATCATCATCACCAACCCTTCTTCATCATCAATTTCATGATTCTGACCGTTGAGAGTGAGTAATTCCTTCGTAGGCTTGTTGGACAGTGATAGGGTTGGACGAGATTTGTCATGCAATTGAGTCAATTTGTTAGGGCTTGATCCCTAGTATCCATTATGTTCTTAGATTGATGTTGCTATGACTTTGCTATGTATAATGCTTGTCACTAGGGCCCAAGTGCCATGATTTCATATCTGAACCCTTTTATGTTTGCATGAATGTATTTGTGTTCTTGATCCTATCTTGTAAGTTATACGCACTTTTACGTGTCATGATCAGCATACGTGAAGGTGATAATAATTGGGATTCTTTCCGGTGATTACCGTAGGTTGAGGAGTTCATGTATTCACTATGTGTTAATGATTTGTTCCAGTTCTCTATTAAAAGGAGGCCCTTAATATCCCTTAGTTTCCTTATGGACCCTGCTGCCATGGGAGAGTAGGACAAAAGATGTAATGCAAGTTCTTATCATAAGCACATATAACTATATACGGAATACATGCCTACATTATATTGATGAATTGGAGCTAGTTCTGTGTCTCTCTAGGTTATGGCTATTACATGATGAATGACATCCAATACAAATATCCATTGCTGATCCAATGCCGACGCTTTTCATATATTGATCTTTGCTAAGTTACTACTGTTGTTGCTGTTGTTACAATCACTACAAAACTGCTACTATTACTGTTACTACTGTTACTGTTACCACTGCTATCAAATTATCATACTACTGTGCTACTGATCACTCTGCTGTGGATATTTAATACTCCAAATGTGGTTGAATTGACAACTCAACTACTAATACTTGCAAATATTCTTTTGCTCCCCTTGTGTTGAATCAATAAATTTGGGTTGAATACTCTACCCACGAAAACTGTTGCGATCCCCTATACTTGTGGGTTATCAAGAGGGGCCGACCAAGAGGAGGGGAAGGGCTCCCCTCCCCTTGCGTCGGCCAATGGGGGAAGAGGGAGTCCTTCGCCCACCCCAGTTCGGCCTCCTTCATTAGGGAAGTGAGGTGCCTCCCACTTGGGCCCTTGTGGCCCAAGTTGCCTTCCACGTCTTGGCCTTTTAACGCCCATTGATATTAAATTAAATATAAAATTATTCTAAATAAATTCAGACCATTTTATATATAATTTAACATCCCTAGAAACATTCCCCCTAAATATTATTTATCGGTTATACCCGGTATAACCCGACATTTACCGAAACCCTTTCGGTGACCCCAATACGCTTTCGTATCCTCTCGAAACTATTCTAAATATTAATGAAACAATTCCACAAATATGTTCTCATCACTCCCGTCCTACTAACACTCAGCTGATCATGATTGCCAGAAGCTTGTGACCCCGTAGGTTCCGTGACTCATATACATGAACGAAATCGTTTATTCACTAACCGATAGCGGAGCCATGGGCGTCCATATCGATCCATATGAGAACACGAATGATATTTGAGTGAACCTTTGGTTATCATGTGATGTTCCCTTTGCTTCACGATACATTACAAAACCTGGGATGCATCGATATCCTTCTGAGTATCACATGCTTAATATACTGAAATCCTTGTTACCGATTTTGTTCCTTTTTCTCGTTATTGTGTTTCGGCATCCCCATGACGTAGTCACCTGTGTCTGGCCAAACGATGATGGATGTCGTCACACTAAGAGGGCCCTAAGAATATCTCTCCATTGCCGGAGGAGCAAATCCCACTCTCGAGCTATCTAGTCCCTTGTCAAACTTTCCGATGAACCTGTATCGTTATGATCACCGTGTTACAGGTGACGTTTGAGCCCACTGCACAGTAAGAACTGACTACGATTCTCTCTTGGTCTAAGGAGAAAAATCACACGTTAACACTCCATGTTATTGCAATTGATTACAGATGATATTAGTCAATTCATAACAGGTAAATTTGGGTCAATTTAATCTGATCGTTCTTCCAACGTTATAATCTCAATATTGTTTTATGACTATTGTTAACACTTAACGATATCATAAGATCCGAAAAACATGATCATCAACAACACTTGAGCCAGTCTTAGAGGCAAGACTAGGAATCTAATTTTACCGTTTATCATTCGATATGTGCATATGAGCTTTCCATTGAATCGCATATTCCAGGATCATATCAGTTATAACATAGAACATAAACCCTTAATTATGAATATGAAAATAATAATAATACAATATTTTTTGCCCCTAGGGCATATTTCCAACAGTGTCGAGCCTAGTTCTTTAGTGTATGAGAAACTGAGATCTAAGTAGTTAGAGCTTCATGGATGTCGATCGAATCTCTATGTGTCTGAGGCATCCGTGCGCAACACCTCATTGAGAACCATTAAGGTATGGCGGTACATGGAATATACTGTGTAATGGCTATATGATGGGTGCTGCCTATAAATAGCACCATGGCAGTGCATCTAGTGCTTTCCTAGTAGGTTTTAGATGATTAATAACAGTCGATTAAGGGATTAATATGTTTATCTAGTATACACAAGAACATTGTCTTAGGAGTTACTTTAACCGCGTGGATGTTGACCCCTCAAAACGGAGGGAAGAAAAGGTACGGGCTATAGCCCTGAGGACGCATACGCTCTTGAGGAATCAAGAGTTGTTCTGGCGTGCTTCAAAAGTTAGAGCATTACTGAAGGTTGAAGACATAGTATTTTTCAAGGGGTTTAGATCTTCAAGGTAGAAATTGAAACATGGTTGTGTTCTCGATCTAATTCAAAATATTTTCACAACAACCCGCTTGGATCAAGAGCTAAGATCTTTACACATGTGGTTTTACTTAGTACACAATTGAGTTGTGGTTTTACTTGAGTGGCTCGGCCGCCCAGAAGACTTGCTCTAACATGAGCGGCCAACCGCGCCCAGAAGATAGTCTTGCTCTGACGTGAGTGGCTTGGCTGCCCACAAGCTAATAGTGCATTTAGCAAGTGGAGTTTGTGGGTCCTCATATAGTGGGTTTAGGGTCACCACAAATCTCTACCGTTATCATAACTAAAATCACTAATAACTGGAGTCAGTGTTTATATTCCAACAACGTTATAATTGGAGTCGGCACACTAAAATCACTAATAACTGGAGTCAGCCTAACAGTAAGTCCTATAGAAGAAGAAACAGAAAGGACTACTGTTTTTTCTTGGCTTGCATCAGCTTTTAATCATACGACACATACAGCTCCACAAAAATCCAGTGGTCGCAACGCAACTCACAGCCAACATAGAAAGAGCAGAACCAAATGGACATAAGGAAACGAACATTGTGCAGATGAAGGTGTTGATGAAGTAGGAAACTGACCAAATAAAATACTCCCTCCGTTCGGAATTACTTGTCGTAGAAATGGATGTATCTAGATGTATTTTAATTCTAGATACATCCATTTTCAAGACAAGTAATTCTGAACGGAGGGAGTAGTAACAAGTGCCTGTGCCAGTTCAGTGATCTCGAGGTACTTGAAGCTTGCGATGCACGTATGAGTGATGACCCCATCGTCAACTAATTAAAGGAATGATAATCCTATAATAGTCGCGGAGACTACCAACATAACAATTATCCTTATTAATCTCATTCCACGTAGGCTCGGAAGCAAGGTGCGGCACCATGTTCGGACACCAACCCTTTTGATCAAGGTCCTTACGCTAAGAAACAGCATGGCGGACATTGTGAAGTGTGGTAAAGTGGCTAGAATGGCAAATGCACAGGCAGTGATGGCAAACCTGAAACCAACTGGAGAAGCGACCACATAGACCCCCGACATAAAGACGGCGAGCATACACAGCGCGGCAAGCTCGAGTAACAGCCATCCAACTGCAAGGTGGGTGAAGCGTGTATTCCTGTCCGCTACAGAAATGCCTGCCAATGTGCAGCAAGACGTCGCTGCCGCCGAGAAGACAAACGCTAAGGCGTCCGAGACCATGAACGCTTTGTACACGTGCATCTTTGCTCTCCCAAGTGTGCTGCTCGCGTTGCTGGAATCGATGTAGAATTTCGAAACGTTGAAAGGGGCCGCAAATGCTACGTTCACGATAAGCACAGCACAGACGGCCATGAGCCCGGCTGACTTGCTAATTGCTTCGGAATTCTTCTCCTTGTCAGCTGTTGTGAAGTTGGTAGAAAAATGATCCCACCGACCAGTGCCATATTCAGCCTTAGCAAGTACAAGGTCATTCGCAATCCATTGCCGGGGCTGGAATGAGAGGTGTAGTATAAGTTAGAGAACAGATGAATGTGATTGTAAGAGCATTCCAAAGAAAAAAGATACACGAACGAGTTACAAGAAGAGAGAGAACCCTAGCTACAAGATCATAGCCGTCTACTTCCTAAGGCTGAACCTACAATTAATAGGTGAAATTTCAGTTTTATATAGGAAAAAAAATCCAAACTCACAATTATTTGCAGAAACCTCCTCTTGGTAGGGTTTCTACCTCTCACCATAGAGTAGTTTATCACAGACCTGCGGATTCATAGTTAGTACCTAGATGTCTTCTTCTCTCTCTTTCATCTTCAATACAATGTTTTCCTTGATGTTTTTGGAGATCTATTCGATGTAATATTCTTTTGCAGTGTGTTTGTTGAGATCAATGAATTGTGGGCTTATAATCAGATTATTTATGGATATTATTTGGGTCTTCTCTAAACTCTTTTATTCAGTTTTCTTGTACGTGAAAAGTACGTATGAGTATTCTTAATTTGTCTTACGTGCATGACTCTCAAAGAACTTTTGAACAACCATACAATAAATTAATCTTTTATATGACAAAGTGGCAACCACATCTTAATGGCAATCCAACTAGGAAAAATCTTACAACACACGCGCGCACACCTTGAAGAAGATAAAACACGGTAGCTGTGCGGCACCAACGATCCACCGACATGCCTCATCCCACGCCGCCCTTGGACAACCAGCTCCCGACATATCGCCTTGGGCACTATCGTGTGGACAAGCGCCAGCGCGACCAGATCGCCGCCACCAGAACCTCCCAAAGAAGATCTGCATTCCGCCCTTCCGCGGCAGTTTTCACATGGAAGCCCGCCATGCAACCTCACTGACTTGGCTATTCGGGTTAGGGCATCTCCAAAGTCGACTCTCAAATGTCCCGCATCCGTTTGAATCATGATGTCCAGACCGTACAAGCCATCCAAACAATCCTGTATCGGTCCACGGTGCGGTTCTGACGTACTTTCTTTCACAAACCAGAGACAAACGTGAGGGGGCTTTACAGGAGTCTGGACCGCTCTCAAGCCCCCTTCTAACCATACTGGCCCACCAGAAAACCCTAACCGCCCCTCCTGCGCTTTCCATCCCACGCACCGCGCCGCTTGTCGCGCCGCATTCATGCCAGCTCACGGCATGCAACAGCTGGCATTGATGCCGCGCTTTGACCGGACAGGAGGGCGGCGCTGACGGACTTGACCTCTTAGGCGTCGCCGATTTAATGTGGGCGCCGTGTCCCGAGGAACTAACTCCGGCCGCTATGCCGCATTGATGTGGGCTAACTGCCCCTTCGCCTGGGCCTCGCTGCAGCTATTTAAGCCATGCGCCGACGACACACAGAGTCGCACTCCCCCTCCCCGAGCATCGGCCCCCTCCCCTCCTTCGTCTCCGTGCCCGAGCCCCTCCTCTTCGACCCCAGCTAAGGCGATGCCGAAGTCATGGTTCTCCACGCCGACAAATGGAGTAGGCGGAAGCTCCTCCTTCGGCGGTTCTTAGCACCGCCGCCCACGCTCTCCGGGCCCGTCGGCTTCCACGGCGGTCGGGTCCTCCTCCAAGGAGGAGATCGTCATCTCTTCCAGTGACGAAGAGGACCAGGCACCACCGCAGCAGCCACCCCAACTCCTCAAGGAGGCCGCTCTGATGGACGAAGATTTCGTCCATCAGACTGAGATAATAACGGAGCGCTCGCTCCGTTACATGGGACTGTCGTCGCCATCGCCGACGTGCATGGAGGAGTCGTCGTCCCCGCCACACCACGCATGAAGCGCAAGCCGGCGTCCCTGCTCCGGCCTGTGAAGGAGGAGCGGGCCTCACCCCAGCACAACCGCATTGTCTAGATCATATGTCGCTTGAAGGAGGAGCCGACCTTGCCCCCGCACCACCGTGGCCTCCAGATCGAACGCCGGGACAAGGAGGAACCGGCGTCTCCACCACGCAGCTTGTACGGCTATGAGTTGTCTCCCACGATCAAGAAGGCACGGGGCTGCCTCCTCCACTACCTCGAAAGAGATTGTACGGTCTACAAGATAGAATTTTTTTTTCTATTTTTTCTTCTTCTCCTCTATTCCTTTCTTCTTCTCCACTTTTTTTTCTTCTTCTTCTTCCTTCTTCCTTCTTCCTCTTTTCTTCCTTTTTCTTAATTATTTTCCTTTCTCGTCGTTGTCGCGTCGTTGTCGATATAACCCCCTCGAGATAACTTCGACATGAGGGGCGGTCGATATATATACCCCCCCTCGGCCCTCTCGCTCGACCAAAACTCTCGAGGACACCCAAACCCTAGAGAGAAAATGATGTTGGTCTCCTACCCCCTCCCGCCGCGCCCCTACCCGACAAATTAACTCTCTCGAGGCCACCCAAATTTACCAAGTTAAAAGAGTGTTGTCGTCAAGGCCACCCCAAACCTTTGAAGCGTTGTTGTGTCGAGGCGACCCCAAACCCTAGAGAAGCAGCGTCGAGGCCACTAACATGATTCCTTATTGTGATTAGCTGGCTAGTTCTATGTTTGCCACTTATATATATATATATATATATATATATATATATATATATCCATCTGTACCATGTTTGAATAATAATTGACATGTTGTAAATATTTGCAGAAACTATGGAGCACTGCCGAGACGAAGAAACAGAAGCGATATTGAGGGACATAATCGCAAATAGAAGGGATGAAGTTGCGTCATTTCTCCTCGACACCGTTGGTCAGCTGGAAGAACAGGGTGAAGAAGAGGGCTATGTTCATGATGGCTTCGGGCCATTAATGCCGGTACAAGAACAGGACTATGTTCATGATGGCTCCGGTGACACAATGGAGGTACAAGAAGGAGACCGTGATGACTGCTCCGGTGACCGAACAGAGCCCGGCCAGGTATATATATATTAGTTAAGCCCGTGCTGACTAGTTAATTGATGCTTCCATTGTTTTGGTATATGTACACATATTAATTACTCTCGTCTTTCTTCCTTATAATTTCTAGCCCTCCGGATCGAGCACAACTTCGGTAAGGAGACGAGGCCCGAAGAAAAAAGTTGAGCTCGGATGAAAAGTTCGAGATCATAGAAATCGTGCCCGACGGCGAACCGATTGAACCCATCCGGACAAGGAAGGCATTTTCTGCTCAGTGTGGGGTTCTTGTTAGGGAGAAGATCCCGATCAGCATCCAGCAATGGTATAAGCCTAAGGAGGAAGACCCTGAGGTGTCTTATGTCAATGATATGCAGAAGGAATATCTTTGGACTGAGCGGAAGGAAAATTTCACCCTACCGCCAGAGGAGGATCTGAAGAAGCCAGTTAAAGAGGAATTAATCAAGTCTTGTGCTCTTAAGAAGATGGCAACCCTAATGAGGAGGTGGAGGAAAGAGCTGAACCAGTTTGTCAAAAATAAAAAGACATCAGAATTCATCGGCAAATATGAGAAGATCAAAGATCAGTGGCCCGCATTTGTGGCCCACAAGACATCGGAAAAGAGTAAGAAGATGTCGGAGACAAACAAGAAAAATGCTGCGAAGGAGACGCTTCACCATCACACGGGGTCAGGTGGCTACCTGCAAGCCCGGCCTAAGTGGTCCAAGGCTGAGAATATCTGCTTAAAAAAGGGATCGAACCAGAGACAATGAGATGGCCAGACCGTTGTCGGACTTGGTTCTTCGGGTCTGGCGGAACCTTGGACCCTGTAACAGGGTTTTGACAGTGGACGGACGAGCAACTGGAAATACAAGTCAAGAACCTTCGACACTATATCGATGCAGCGTAGCGAGGGACGTTCCTTCCAAACAGGGAGAAGGACGAGCTCACAATGGCCCTTGGGAATCCTGAGCACCCTGGACGGACACGAGGCACGCCAGGCTCCATTCCATGGAAGGTTGGTTTTCCGGACGCAGGGGGTTACAAAACCCACGAGAGGAGGAAGAAACTGGAGCAGGACCAACTGCAAGCGCTGCACGAAAGGGTAATGGGGCTAGAGGATCGAGAAGAGGAACGAGAAGCAGCAGATTGCAGCAAACGACCTGCCGAAGCTTCCCCCGAAGCTACCCCGCCATCTCAGCGGAGAAGCAGCGTGGCTTCCACCGAGCTGCTTCAGCCGGAGCATGTCTTGACGGCTCCTGCCAGCTATCCCGTGGATGGTATCACGGAGTCTCAAAATTGCCAAATGATGGCGCGATGGATGAATTTGAAGGTCAAGGCGGCTGTTGGCCAAGTTTATCCTAGTGGACCCGGCACAACTTATCACTGCCAGCCGATTCCAAAAGGATATGCTAAGGTGATGGTGGATGAAATAACGGAGGGATTTGAGGACCTCGTGATTGACCACCCTACCGGTGAAGGGGAGACTAGGCTGGGTTCTGCTCTGAAGACTCCATGCCTATGGAAGAAGGAGCTCATCAACCTTCTGAACTGAACGCCTCCGCCTCCTCCTCCTGCTCCGGCGACTCAGGGCACTCCGCCTCCTCCTCCGGCGAGTGACGATCAGAGCACGCGTGGCGGCACTCCGCCTCCTTCTCCGCCTGCGCCGGCGCTCCCGAGCAGCCAGCAGCATCCTCCTTCTCCGCCTCGCCAGCAAGGGTGGAAGAGACCCGCCGCCGCCCCGGCTGCTCCGGCGCGTCGTACTCCTTCTCCTCTGCCTCGTAAGCAAGCACGAAAGAATACAGACGCCGCAGCCGCTCCGTCTGCTCCGGCGTCTAGCAGCACAACCAGAGGCGGGAGACAATACAAATACGGTCCATCATCTCTCAAGCCTCTAGAGAAGTTATCGTACGAGAGGTCCGAGGAGGAAAACGATACGATTGTGCGGACCCACGTGAAGGAGTTCTTTGAAGGGGTGAAAGCAAAGAGACATCCACCTCCGGAGGAGAAGGTAGATCCGGTGAAAGCAAAGCGCACTATCGATGCCCTGAGGAAACCACCAAAGTCTCCGCCGAGAACCAACTATGAGCGCATTACTGAACAGACATATCTCCAAGCCCAGCGGTCGGGAACTACTGTCAGTGCTAAAAGGTCAAAAGAACGAGCAAAGGGGAAAAAATTGCCCAGCTCGGCGAACAAGCAGAGCAATCGTACCCCCCGCTCAATGTGTCTAATGCTCCGGGGACGGTGGCCGGTTATGGCAATCTTGACGATTACCTGCCTGACGATGCACTTCCTGATTTCTTGGAGGTGGACGAACACAGATACGAGTACGGGAAGCCTCTCGTCAAAGATGAAAAATCTCTGACAACAATGATGCGAAGATTCCATAATTGGTACATGGAAACCTGCAGAGAGTCTGAGGGTAAGAATGCTTTGTATCTGCATATTAAAGAGGAGCACAATCTCGTTGCAAATGATCTGTTGACTATTCCATTTGATGAGTTCTTCGCGTTCTTCAATCAAAAGGCCCTCGATAAACTAATGGTCTTTTGCTACTGTCTGTAAGTACTATTTCTGTCATTAAGTCTCTATATATAGCTCGGCTCTTTCATTTCATGTATTTATAATTAATTATCCTCAATATATTATGCAGACTGAAGATCGTCGAGTGCAAAAAGCAAGAAATTTATGATATTGGGTTCATTAACACAAATATCATAGATGAATTTCTGGTTAAAAAGGACATCAAAGAGGCCGAGGACAACGTGCTACAATCATTGATAAAAAATCAAAACAAAGATACCATACTCTTTCCTTACAACGGCAAGTGAGTGTTACTGTCGTGTGCATATTCGATTTCCCTTATTACTCGAGCGAGGTTATAGTAATGTAATTGATGAGTTATGCATGCGTGCGCAGGTACCACTATATTCTTCTGGAGATTAAGCTTGAGCGTGGACTAGTAACCGTCTTAGACTCGAGACGGAAAGATCCCAAATCCTATGCGGACATGACTGAAATGCTCAGCAAGTAAGTTCAATCGATCATTATCGCACCATATCGGCAACTTTTTGTTCATTTCCTGATATCTCAAGTAATAATAATTATTTTCTTTGTCTTGCAGGGTTTGGAAACAGTTCACCGCAGAAGCTCCGGGACTGCCGAAGGAGCTGCGATATACATACTCGAAAGTAAGTACTACTGGCTAGCTAGTTGCGCGCATCTCCCGTTGATTCTATAGCTATACTTTCATCAATGCCATTTATAATGCTTCATTATCAGTTTCATTGACCTCTATTTCTCGTAAAGTGCTTGTGGCAGGAAGAAGCGAATGATTTCTGTGGATACTACGTGTGCGAGTTCATCCACAACGCGACTTTGGAAAACAAGCGGGGCTACTCTCAAAGACAATATGAAGTGCGTAAGCAATAATATTCACAATTTCATTTTATTACACCATCATTTCTGTTGAGTTTCATTCATATATATGTATTAATTAACCCCCTTCTTCAAATTAGACGTGGCAGATGCAGAATGAACTCCTAAAACGAGATCACATGAAAGCAATTCAAGAGGAATTGGCGGGATTCTTTCTTGACCACGTCATCAATAAAGCCGGAGAATACCATGTGGAAATTGATTTCAATTGCTAGGAGATTGTAATTATAAGAGATCTTATACATATTGTACATGCATGTATGTAGCCAGTAGCGTCAGATACTTGTTGTTCGACCAATCTCTCGGAGAAGGAGAGAGGTCGATCGATCAATTCTCTCGGTATGCATGAACTTCTGTACTGAATGGTTTTCTCGATCACTTATGTATATATAGTACGTAGAGTCGACCAAGCACGGACATAAGAGAGGACACTTCTCTTTATTAATTAGCTAGCTAACACAATATATGAAACACATAAATTAACCCCCCAAAACCCCCAATCCCCCCCTCCTTTAAAAAAAAATAACAAAAACCCCAACCAATGGAATGCTAACGTGTGGATGCTTTTTGGTCCCGGTTGGTGCCACCAACCGGGACCAAAGGACCCCTGACTGGGCTCGGCGCACAGGGCCACGTGGAGGCACATTGGTCCCGGTTCTTGTTTGAACCGGGACTAATGGGTGGAGGTATTAGTAACAGCCCATTAGTCCCGGTTCATGAACGAACCGGGACTAAAGGCCCTTACGAACCGGGACTATTAGGTGTTTTTCTACTAGTGTGTGGGTGCTAGGTCGGTCGTAGTGCCCTTTTATGTGGGTCTGTTGTAACGGTTTTTGCCCGGGTTTTATTTAATTAACCGGGCAACTCTGCTCTACCTTTTTTATTGAATCGGGCCCTAAGGAACCGTGTTTCAAAAAGAATAGCATGGGATTTTGTGGGATTGTTTTTTTAAAAGCCATACGATATCTTATTTCGTTGTCAGAAGTGCATGATGCAATCACACATTGACCATCTCTCCTCTAACAAAAAAGGATATTTGACAGAGAGAGACTATACGCACATACCTGTGTAAATGACACGCCAGGTGGGATGCCCAAGGATGCAAGATCTAGAGGCGTGCGCTCCTCCTTATTTGTGGGACTCAAAAAGATTTGCCTCATCCCCAGTAACACTCGGAAGATGGACACATTTCCTTTCAATACAGCCAAATGAAGAGCCGTATTCCCATCTGCATCTCTGGTGTTAAGAATTCCTAGGAACCTTTGCCCTGAGCATACATACCTTACTACATTGTAATTTTTTTGCTGGACAGCAATGTGGAGGATGGTCTGGCCAAAGTTACTGCATGGCCAATAGCAATCGGGACAATGCTCTAGCAACAGCTTGATCATGTCAAGACATCCATTAGCAGCTGCGACATGTATGGGTAGTGCTCCCTCGGCATCCCAGAGGTATCCAGCGCTTGCGTCCCTATCCAACAGAAGTTTTGCAGTAGCTGGCTGCCTGGTAGTCCAGCTTGATGCCAAAAGGTGAAGTGGCGTGTTCCCATATAGATCAGTCTTCTTTATGAGGTTAGGATTCCACACCACGAGATGTTGACTGAGCTCTGCAATTGAGAAAGAATACACATGCATACAGTGAGAACAGGGTATGCTGTCGAAAGGAAGATGAGAAGAATTAGCTTATGTTTTGATTGGCGATCGAGCTAGCACATGCACCTGTGCTGCGGTATCGAAGAAGAACTGCAGCATGCAGAGCTGTCTTCTTTTCAGGCCCAGCACAGGATGCTGCATACCTGTGATCTTGTGGCCTTTCAGTGAGGAGCTGAACCATTTCAAGGTTGCCTAGAGTTGTAGCCAAATATAGAGGAGAAACACCTTCGTTATCCTCTATTTGCACTAGAGCACGGCATCTGTGTCTGTCCCTAATGTATTGCACGCTGACATCTGCCGCGATCAATCTACTCGCAACTTGTCTGTTCCCCCGCCGAACAGCGTCGTGTAAACATGTTTCCCCGTTGCACTTTCTTTCACTGACAAGTTCCATTTGCTTCTCATGGCTTCCAGACATCAGTATGAGAAGATTGATCATCTCGGGTTCCTCGGTGGCAGCCGCACAGTGCAAGGGAGTCTCCCCTCTCCTGTTCTTGGCTGCTACATCCACTAACATGGCCCATCCATCGGAAATGGCACGCACTAGTTCAACATGCTCTAGTCTTGCTGCAATATGGAGCACTCCGTCCCAATCAGATGTCACTCCTTGGAGAAGCCTGGATGTCCTTGGAGGTGGCTGGTTTTCATCTTGCAAAAGTTCATTAAATCGCTGTACATTGCCTTCTGTTACTGCCCTTCGCAATGTATAGTCCATCATGTGCCTTTCAGACTTGTGCTGAATGTCTTCCATTCTCACGTCACCTTCACTATCAAACACAGCGTCTGCGATTCAATTACTGAAGAACTTGTGTTAAAATAGCACTACAAGTAATTACAGTTACAACCATCATGATCCATGGCAGACAAGTACTCCCTCCGTTACTAAATATTTGTCTTTCTAGAGATTTTAAATGGCTACCACATATGGATGTATATAGACATATTTTAGAGTGTAGACTCACTCATTTTGCTCCGTATGTAGTCACTTGTTGAAATATCTAGAAAGAGAAATATTTAGGAACGGAGGGAGTAAAAGATAACTCGTTAGGATGCACTACTACAATCTGAGTCAATTAACTTCAAACTACAAAACATACTTTTGCTCCATTTCCCCGTCCTTCCGTAGAGGTATCCAATACTAAGAGTCTGATTCGTCTGTAGCCAACTTTTGCCATGCTAATGTTAAGGCAAGCCAAAGTCAGGGCTCGCCACTATTTGGCAAAAGATAATCAAGCACAGGCCCAAATAGCTGCTGGCTCTCTGCTAGTTCCTGATCTTGTCTTCGATGTTCAGTGCATAAGACTCCTTGGAGCTTGCGCGAAGAGATCAAGGAGGAACACATGGTTCCTGGCCCATTGTAGCTACGATTTGCTAGTTTTGGTTCTTAGCGTGGATGTGGAGGAACAACATTGAAGGTTCTTAGCAGACAAGTATATGCTAGGAAGACTTTATTTCGCCATTTCGGTGAAACATCGCCACGAAATTTCAAACTAGAAGCAGACCACTACGACCCTACCAGAAACAGCAACAAGATAAATTTTGATACAAACTCACCGATATATACAGAGCTATCCAATCATATATCCTAGAATCCATACTGAATAGGAATGAAGCCTAACATTTTACAAGATGCAAAGTAATAGTACAGGACAATAATATTTTCTGGCCCTGTTCACAAAGGCAATTTCTTCTCCATTGAGTATAAAGATGCAAATCTTTTGTAAGACGAGATATTACGAAGTTCAAATAACTTACAAGGCAGCTTTGAGGTAGGAAAGAAGAGCGTCCGAAAGTCATAACAAGCCCGAGCGCGGCACCTCTGTTAAATGTGGCAAGTCAAAAGGCATGTTAGCAAGTACAGATCTCTTGGCCTTTCAGATCTTAAGTAGAGTCAAGTAGCCAAACAGTAAGGATAACAGTGGACGGACGTTTAAAAAAAAGATGCTTATAATATTATAACTTGATTAGTTTAACAATCTTCAGTGCCTAACACCGAGGGCCAAGATGCAAGGCAAACGGTAAGTTGTGCACATGTACACATCGTGTGAGAATAATCAAGCATCATTGTTTTAGCTAGGTGATAAGGACGTAGGGTTGTTCCTTAGCTAGCTAAGTCAGTTTCCTAATCTGAAGCATCCCAAATTGACTGGTTTTTAGCATAGTTTTAAATAGCGCGCTAAGCCTCTTAGCGCCGAACCTCTTCTAAACGCTATAACATGCTATAGCGCGCTATTTAAAATGTTTATTCATTTGTTTGGACCAATGTCTCTTAGTGCAAGCCCTTTTGTAAATGCTATAGCGTGCTGGAGCAGAGCTATAGCGGGCTATTTAAAACAATAATTTTTAGGACCATTGAGCTAGCCCTGAGATCCAACAACCTATCAAGACAAAATTAAGGGTGGTGGTTAGGGCTGAATACGAGCCGAGTTCAGTCCGAGCTTGCTTTGGCTCGCCCAAAGCGAGCCGAGCGGCTCGTTGGTTGGAGCCTGTTTTTGGAGGCTCGGCCCATTTTGCTTCTGGCTCGGTCCAGCCTGAGCAGCTCGTCTGTGCACTGCTAATGTGTGTGCAAGCCTGTGTTTGCATGTGTCGGGGCCGCGGCAGACGCTTGGCTAGGCACCATAGGAGGGACAAACGGCGGCATCGGCGCGTCCGCCGACGGTGAGTGTCGGCCGCGGCGAAGACGGCGGCGGCATCCGACGCGGCAAGGAGGGCGAGGGCTACACTCTACACAATCAAGCAGAAACATTCATCTTTATCTTTTTGGATGTTCTGATCTGGAGCGGATGCCTCAAAACATTTGTCAGCTTAACAACCTTCGCACACTAACAACATTTGTTGTGGATGTTAAACAACATTTTTATGTGCGTGACAAGGAGGCAGCCGCACCAGATCATCTTCGGTAGTTGGTAGAGTTGATTAGCTAGAGTCTATCTTTATCTTCTCTTTGTAATCTTATGTCTACCTAGCTTCCTCTTCAAGATGTAATCTAAATTTTATGCGCTATCAGGAAGGTGCGCCCCTGCCTATAAACACGTACGGCGTCCCCTCGACCTGGGCACGACGCTTTCCGCCATCGCACATGGTAATCAGAGCCCTTCTCTTCCACGTCTAAACCCTAGAACTCCATCCAGTGCAACTATGTCGTCTTCCTCTTCCTCCGGTGCCTCCCAGGATGGCCCCAACGGCCAAGTCACGAAAGGCTCTCCTGCATCAACTACGTCCTCTGGCACGCGCAGATCGTGCCGCAACTGAGGGGCGCGGGTGTCTTCGGCTACGTCGACGACACGACACCGGAGCCGGCCAGGATCCTCCACACCAAGGACAAAGATGGGAAGGAATCCACTGAGCCGAATCCCCTCCACTCCATCTGGGTGCGAGAGGACCAGCAGGTGCTCGGGTACCTGCTGAACAACCTCACCAAGGAGGTGCTCGTGCAGGTGACCGCGATCACCACGACGTGCGAGCTCTGGGTGGCGCTGTCGGGGATGTTCTCCTCGCAGTCGCTCAGTCGCGTAAACAACATCAGAACCTCTCTGGTGAACGCCCAGAAGGGCAACAAGACCGTCACCACCTACTTTGCCGAGATGCGCGGCTTCGCCGACGAGCTGGCCGCCGCCGGAAAACCTCTCCAGGATGATGAACTCATCTCCTACATCCTGCACGGCCTCGACATGGACTACCAGCCACTCGTCTCCGCCCTCGACACCCGCATCACCCCGGTATCCCTCGATGAGCTTTTTTCAATGCTTAGCAACTTTGATCATAGGGTGGCGCAGTACCAGGGATCGGGCGGCTTCAAGTCGTCGGCTAACGCCGCGACGCGCGAGCGCGGCGGCTATGCTCGTCACCGTGGTCCTCCTTGCTCCAAGGGCAAGCAGGGGAGCGGCGGCAGCAACGGCGGGTCCAACTCCCGCAACGGACGTCCCAACTACACCAACACCCGGGGCCGCCGCGGTGGTTCTTCCAGGTCGCGACCGGACGCGGTGCGCTGCAAAATCTGCGGCAAACCGTGCCACACAGCGAGGGACTGCTAGTACCGGTTCGATGAGGATGAGGCCTCCTCTGAAGATGAAGAAAAGGTTGCTGCTGCTATTGACGGTTCATATGGCATCGATACCAACTGGTATCTTGACAGCGGCGCGACGAACCATCTCACTAGCGAACTGGAAAAGGTGACACTCAAGGAGAAGTATCACGGCAAGGACCAGATCCACACCGCAAGTGCTGCAGGTATGAGGATACGTCACATTGGTCATTCAGTTTTTCGTACCCCACGTCGAAAATTTTATCTTAGGAAAATTTTACATGTCCCTAGCACTGACAAGAACCTTCTATCTGTTCATCGAATCACCCGTGATAATCATGTTTATATTGAATTTCATCCCTTCTTCTTTTTGATCAAGTATCAGGTCACGAGGAAAACTCTGTATCGAGGTAGATGTGTTCGAGGTCTTTACCCGTTGATTCCGGAGCTTCAAAGATACAATAAACAAGCTTGTGGTGCTATCAAGCTTTCGGCCACACGATGGCACGACCGTTTAGGGCATGCTTCATTTTCTTTAGTTGATCGTTTACTTAAAAAAATAAACTCCCGTTTGTTGGGGAGCGCGATGTTGAAACCATCTGTGATTCTTTTCAGAGAGCAAAAAGTCATCAACTTCCTTACCCTGTTTCTACTAGTGTTTCTACTCAACCGTTGCAATTAATTTTTTCCGATGTATGGGGTCCTGCCCCAAGCTCTGTTGGTAGACATACGTACTACGTCAGTTTCATTGATGACTACAGCAAGTTCTCTTGGCTCTACCTTCTTAAAAAAAGGTCAGAAGTTTTCCAAGTCTTTAAAAACTTCCAAGCTCTTGTTGAACAGCAGTTTGATAGAAAGATTCTTGTTGTCCAATCCGACTGGGGTGGGGAGTACGAAAAACTCAACTCCTTTTTCCAAACACTAGGAATTTCTCACCATGTGTCATGCCCTCACGCTCACCAACAAAATGGGTCTGCAGAACGTAAGCATAGGCACATTGTTGAGGTTGGCCTTGATCTCTTGGCTGGAGCTTCTATGCCCTTAAAATTTTGGGATGAAGCATTCCTCAGTGCCGTACACATCATAAACATGCTTCCTAGTCGGGTTATCAACAATGAAACTCCCTTAGAAAGGCTTCTCTACACAAAACCAGATTATAAATCTCTTCGTGTTTTTGGATGCGCTTGTTGGCCGAATCTTCGCCCCTAGAACAACCGCAAGCTTATGTTTCGCTCCAAACAGTGTGCGTTTCTTGGATATAGCGCTCAGCATAAAGGAGTCAAATGTCTTGATATCTCCACTGGCCGTGTCTGAAGGAAATATGCCCTAGAGGCAATAATAAAGTTATTATTTATTTCCTTATTTCATGATAAATGTTTATTATTCATGCTAGAATTGTATTAACCGGAAACATAATACATGTTGAATACATAGACAAAAATAGTGTCACTAGTATGCCTCTACTTGACTAGCTCATGAATCAAAGATGGTTAAGTTTCCTAGCCATAGACATGAGTTGTCATTTGATTAACGGGGTCACATCATTAGGAGAATGATGTGATTGACTTGACCCATTCCGTTAGCTTAGCACTTGATCATTTAGTATGTTGCTATTGCTTTCTTCACGACTTATACATGTTCCTATGACTATGAGATTATGCAACTCCTGTTTATCGGAGGAACACTTTGTGTGCTACCAAACGTCACAACATAACTGGGTGATTATA